AGGTACAAGATATGCTGACCTGTCCATTTGAGGTTTCAGCAGTTTATAGACCAAAAATGACCATTACTTCCTTGAGTCTGATTAACACGTGATCTCTCAGATCTGAGAAAAAAAATTCAGATTTCTTTTTTTAAATTGGTGTTTGCAGTACATAATGATTGCATTTATCATGGGGACTTGCACATGTGCATAATACATTTTAACTCTTTGTTTTCATTGCATACCCCTCCCCTACTTCCTTGCTTCTTCCACATCTTGGTTTCTTTCCATTTGCAAAAGCCCTACTTTCATTGTATTTTCCATACTACTCTTGTAAAGAAAGATAAACTGGAGGTATTTCTAGGTAAATGAATGTTATCTGAGACCATGATGTTTAGTTAAATAAATCAGACACACAAAGTTAAATATTCTGTGGTTTGTCCTATATGAGAAATTTAAAATGTCTCTATATCTACCTATCCCAGAGCCTCTGAGAGAGAGAGAGAGAGAGAGAGAGAGAGAGAGAGAGAGAGAGAGAGAGAGAAATATACATAGGAAGTAAGGAGATATTTTTCAAATGGATGGGGGAACAGGAGATGGCAGGAGGTTGGAAAGGAAAAGGATAGGAAAAAAAAAGAATTGAGGTGAACGAATTCAGACTTCTAATCAGCTGACCTACCAATGAACAATGGCCATTTTCAATTGCTCCCAGTAGTGCTGTTTTATAAACAGCACCACAACTATTGATGTTGTTCAGGGCTGGTTTATATTCACTGTTCCTTTACAGTATCAGTATATCATTTGTAGCAATGTTGAAAACTAATGCAGAGTAATAAATCTCTAAGGACTTACTGCTTCATCTGATTACTGTAAGGATTTAATTGAAGAACTAAGATTGATATAGAAATTAACAAATTATGAGAATTTTAAAATGCATGACTTTTGAAGAAATGAAGTTGAAAACAGACTTTATGTGACATTTAATTTGAAAACATTGAATATGGATAGCAAGTATATGTGGCATGCTAGCCTTAAAGGAAAAACCATTAGGTTACACAAGTTTTCTGTCCATTTATTATAATATTACTTTGAAATTGCCCAAGTTCTATAGAATATAATAAAATATGTTATCCATGTACATTGTTGTAAAACCTAGTGTTGGACTTCAATTAAGAAGTAAATGTCTATCTATATAAATACAAAGCTCAGCCTCTTATTTTAATACTGGATATCTATAAAATATTTTCCCTTTTTAAATTCCTCATAGCCTCATCTCCTGCAGTCTACATAGTCCCTGAATTGAGTTTCCCTCTCAGCTAGTGCTAATGTTTGAACAATGGATTCTGCTTGTTAAGTGATAGACAAGATGTCACAAACCCTGGTCTCAGCTGCAAATGCCCAGGCTAAACCTTGAAAAGTACTGTGGGCCTTGTTACTTATGGTAGCTGTATCTAACCACATTTTTTTGCTTCTTGTTTGAGGTCCAACTTGTTAACTATACCAAATTTTCATTCCAGGCAAGTGTCCTGAGTGAATCCTTCCAAGTGAATATGACAACAATAATTCAAAAACTTGGCATTCCTCACCAGGGATATGGTCTCAGTATTCCAGTCTAAGCCCCGGCTTCTGGCCAGCACACTGGCATTCATGGCCCATTTCTAGTCTCTCTTGAAAAATAAAATGGCTTTTCTGGTTGTGCACCAAAGGGAAGCAGTATCACAGCAAGGATGAACCTGATGAATCTCCTTCCTTGTTGACTTTGCATCCAGAGTGACTCTCATATTAGCTGCAATGTCAGAACTAAAAATAAATACAGAACATTTACTAGAAACCCCAGAACTGCTTGTATACATCTGCTTTTTAGAAGTATTTCCTGTGGTGCATGAGGTTGTTTTCCTAATTACGTTCTAGTCCCTTTTAGTAAAATTTATTCTTATGCTTCCCACTATTGCATTTTTATTGATTTTTCTATATGAGGTCAAGTATTACTGTTTGGAGAAAATTCAACATTGTGTGAAATTAGGAATTTTTTTTTTGCTGTTTTCTTTTTTGAGTATCACTTTGTAACTCTTATTGCTCACTTATCAACTTGCCTTTATTATGTAATTTTTATTGTTTAAGAGGCTTTTACCTTAAAAAACATTGGTCGTTAAAAATTAGATATAAAATGTAGATCAGGGATCACCAATAAGCAATCTAGCCAGAAGGTCAAAACAAGCCTACCATCTGCTTTTGTAGATAAAGATTTATTGGAATACAAGTATACTCATTCATTTACATGTTTTCTTTCACTATTTCCATACTACATGGCAGAGTTAAATAGGTACATGTATAGTGACCCAAAACGTGGAAAGTATTGTTATGGTGTCTAGAGAAATTTTGCAGATTGTTTTTCTAGCTTTACAAAATGCAAGCAACTAGTATAATATCTGTTCTCTAAGGACATTTAAGACAAAATTGTGAGCAAAATTAATTACTGTTCTATTTTTGTTTACAAATGAAAATAGAAATATAGCATTAAGTTCTATAAAAGCTTAATGAAAAAAAATCAGTTGTGACTTTGTTTTTTTTTATGTGAGTGACACAATGTCACAAGCTTTGTCATATTTACCTTTACTTAGATTTAAACAACTAATACTAAAAAATTCCTATTTATCGAAAATAGTTCGGTAAAATTGTCCAAAAGTAATAATCATTACATAAAACTAATAATCCAATCAGAAAGTATCCAGCATAGGCCAACTTAATCAAACCATCCAAGATTTTCATTGATATATGGATTTTGTTCTTTTTTTGAACTGAATATGCTTTGATATAATTAAACTTTGATATATTTTTATTCAGAAATTTTGACTTAGACACAAGTTTCAAGAAGGATTTCTATGATGTTAAATAATATGCCATGTATAAACTTTTCCAGAAAAATTTAGAGACTTCCAAGTATAAGAACTATTCTATTGACTTTTTAATTCAAAGCTGCATGCTGACAGGGAGTATAAAGCCATGGTGTGGCTGGACTTTTTAATTTTTACTTAAAAGCCAGATACATGTTTGTTTGAAGTTATATGGCTTTGATACAAATAGAGGGCATAAAAATGCTATTTTCTTACGATTCGTCTTCATGTTTTAATAAGTGTAGATTTGTTCTATTTTTCTCCTTATTTTTTTCCCGATTGCTGTGCAATTTCTAGTTGAGTTCCTGTGAAATAAGTAGAATTTCTTAGGAGAAAAAATGTAGAAAATGATGCTGGAGGTAGAAATATACAAGTGTAAATAAATGAAAATCTTGTAAGAGCCTCTGCTAATCCTTTATCTAACTGCAGCAAAAATTGCAGTTTACAGGGATAAGTTTTGAGGAAAGCATCAAGATATGAGTCCTGGACTTTGGACACCATGTATTACAATTTAACCGTAGTGATAATGTGGAAAAAATGGAACTGTTCTACATTGCTCATGGGAATGTCAATTACTGCTGCCACTGGAAATCAGAATAGAGATTCCTGAGAAACCTTGAGCTACAAATTCCAATTTGACCCAGATATAGGTCTCCTAAGAGTTAAAGTCATCATATTACAGTGATACATGTGTACCCATGTTTATAGCAGTGCAGTTCACAGTAGCTAAATTACAGAAACAACCAGATGCCTATCAACAGATGAATGGGTAAGAAATATATATATAATTCAGCCATAAAGTAGGATAAATTTGAATCATTTGTACAAACATGTATGGATCTTGAGACTGTAATGCTAACTGTATGGACTTGAGACTGTAATGTTAACTGAAATGCATCAAGCACAAAAGGTCAAATATTGTATGGTTTCTCATATCTCGGAAACCTAAAATGCAATTTTAATGAGCAAAATAAAGTACAAATGATAAAAAACAGAGTAGAGTACATGTAGATATGGAAATAAACCTAAGGAGAAAGTTGGGGGGAGGGCAGGAAGGGAAAAAATAAGTTATCAACATTAGGCTAGTTTTTTTTGTCATATTATGACCATAATTTTATTGTATAGAAAATGTCAACTGCATTCGTTAAGGTTTACTTTTTATTCTGCATGATATGGTTCTGATGTATTCCACTTACAGAGACTTGCACATAGCAAGTGGTCAGGACTACTTTTTTTTATATAAATAAAGAGGGTGAAAGGCCATTAAGAATCCATTCTGGCTTTCTGTGAATAATTTTAAAAAACCTAGTCCTATGATTTGTAAATATGGCAGTGAGATAGGGACAAGATGAAAGTGAGGAAGAAACATAAACAGCAACAAGTTCTTCTGCTAATTGGCTAGAGGATTGTTTTAGTGAAAGGAAGGAAAATAAAAACTTGGACAATTTTTTGTGGTGTGAAAGAAGGCTTTCTAAGAAGAGAACAGCAATCAAAAGAATGTGCTGCATACTAACATACACAGCAACGTGGATAAATTTCAGAGACTTGAATGCCAGGCACAAGAGTTCATATTTTTTTTTTGATCAGTTAAAATTAAACTAATTCATAGTAGTGATAACATGTTGTCAGTCACAGAAGTGTGAGAGTTTAGTTACTGACTGGGAGGAACACAAAGTAACTTTCTAATGATGGAACTATAGATCTTAATGCAAATGGTTATGTTGATGTATAAATTACATACTAAATTTATGTATTATATATAGTCATATCCTTCCTGTATTTAAGATTTGTGAACTTTATAGCTCCATAAAAATTTAAATCATAATATTGAAAATAGGTCACAGAGGGGATACTTGATTTAACATGAATACTAAATAGAGTACTGGAAAGAGAAGCATGGTGAACCCTTTTGTCTAAAAACTGCTGAACTTAGCATAGGGGCCATTTCTGAATAAGAACATTAATATTAATTTTTGTTTGAAAACTTTTCATACCCCAAACTATGTTTAATGTGCATTAAAATCACATCTATTGAAATGCAGCAAGGTGAAAGCTGCTGAACATGGTTCTGTTGATCCTTTGAGGACTTGCTGCTTAAAAGCAATGCCTTTGTTTTTTTCTTTCCAGATTGGCAGATCGCTACTCTGGCCTTACTCTTGGGTGGTGCAGCCATCATTCTCATTGCATTCCTGGTTGGTTTGATTTCTATCTGCGTGGGATCCCGAAGGCGCTTCTACAGACCTGTTGCTGTTATGCTTTTTGCAGCAGGTAAATATATTGATTACTTTCAATCCAATATTAAAGTTTTGTGAAGTTTTCTACCATCCTCCCTTCCTAATGGGAAGCAGTATGTGTTTCGTATGTTACATAAAAATAGAGTGGCATTTCTTATATTTTAAGATGAATTAGCTGAAGGTTTTTCATAATATCAGTTTTCAAAATGTTAAGCATTTCCAGAACACAGTGGCAACCTCCAGAGTTTTAACTAAAATGAGAATAAATAATACTTCTTGGGCTGGGGATTTAGCTCAAGCACCTGCCTGGAGAGTGCAACACCGTAAGTTTGATCCCCGGTACCAGTCAATCAATCAATCAATAAATAAATAATACTTCTTGACAGGCCTATCACCCTAGGAATTTCAGCAGATGTATTTACCCACAGTCTTTTTATTGTCAGCTTTTTTCTCTTTCTGCTGCCCCCTTGATCTTAAAGCAGCATCATTTTTTTCTTCTGATATGAAACTAGAAAACATTTCCAAAATGTCTGCCCTTAAGGGCATGCATCTCTTAGAAAATAAAGAAGGTTATGCTGAAAAATCATGACATATAAAGTGAATCAGTTAATTGTTTGAGGTCAGTTGTACATTTTTTAATTTAACAACCAGCATTTTGTGAAAGCATAGCTTGAACTGAAGTATTGACCAAAGTAAACTAAAAGATAGTTATGTAGAAAAGAAGCTGGTGGACTAAAACCCCAGTGTATTATTTGACATGAGTTTTAATTTTAATTTTTGAAAGTATCTTTGAATATATTATTCTTTTTGATTTAAGTTAAAATATTCTTGTGGTACTTTAAATTTGCCCTGTCAGTCATACTGATTTGAAGACTGTAAAATAAGCCCCTGTGACTGTCAATAATGAATACACTGACAGAACTATCTAGGCTGTTAGATGGATTTTTAAAAGCTTTTCACAGGTTGGAATAGATGAAATTTCTTAGGATATAAGGGATAGTTTGAGCTAAAAATATGAAATCCAAAGTGTTCTGCTGCCCCCTGCTGTTTATATGTGAAGACTGGTCTGAACATAGGTATCCTAAAAATGAAAGTCCAAAGTGCTGAAGGAATCAAGAAGTATATATATTTCTGATTTGAATGACATGTTCAAGATCATATAGTGGTTACTGTTAGATCTGAGATTGCAAGGTGACTAAATCTTAAACTAAATCATAAACTACTTGTCTATTAAATACTCCCTCTTCTCCACATTCATTCAACTAGTGTTTGAGTACTTATTGTGGACTGTTTTGTCTTAAGATGCCTGTAAAACTGACCAAATTAACATTAATGTTAACATGGACACTTGCTAATCGATTAGAAAGCATGCTTACAGAAAATACTTTGAAAGTCTTATGAAGTGACCGTACTATCATTTTATGGCTCACATCTGTAATAAAAGTCTCTATTCCAAATGACTTAGTACAATGTGAAGTGTAAACATTCATTGTAGTTCTCTAGTTTATTTCTGGTTCAGTGATTTACTACATTTTTTTTCCATGTCACAATGATATAATTTAGATATTTCAATTGTAGTATGAGTTTGTTTTTTCAGCTAGGATTTAAGAAATGTAGTGATTAGATAATCTGTTGTAATAGTATTTCTGATAAATTGCGCCTGATGGTATATGAATCTAAAATTGAAATTTGGGGGCTGGGAATATAGCTCAGCAGCGTAGCATCTGCCTGGCAAGTGTAAGATTGTGAGTTTGATCCCTGGTTTCAAACAAACACAAAACTCTTTAAAATTGGAATAGTTTCTTTTTTTGGTCTTTGCTGGATTTACAGGTGTGTGCCACTACATCTGGCTTAAAATTGGAATTCTGATTCAAGTAATTTTAGAATACATAAACATTTTTCACTTTAGATTGGTATTAGAGAAATTCTAGTCATTTATTATAATTATTCAATATTATTGTGCATACCTGGTTACTGTTCTATTTTGACTTTACCATATTGTATAATGGTAAATGTAAAACCTATAAATTCATTGTTGATACCATCTGATATAAACATGTTTAAAAATTGGAAGTTTTCATTTTTCCCTAGAAATTCTGTATTTTTCCAAGTTTAGAAAAATTTGTAAAAATAAGTACTAGTTATAATATAAAATATATTATAAATAAACATATATTAGAATTATTAGATTGGGCCAAAATAAAGATTTTGATTTAGCTCTACCATATATGTTAATAAATTATAAAATAATGAAGAAAATCCCTGCAGCAAAATTCATATCCTTTTGTTATACCAATTGAGACCTAAAATGAACTTTATACTGCTGCATTTTTAAAATGTACAGGAGCTGAAATTTAATTTTATTCACTCTTATTTGACATTATGATTATTAAAGCTTATTTAGTGTCTGTTTCAGGTATAAGCAAGATAGAAGCTCCACTAGTTACTTGTAATATGTCATAAAAATATTTCTGCCATTTGTAAAAGTCTTTATTAGTTGCTTATATCTGGTTTTTGGAAATGATACTAACTGCACACAATAATCTCTTATTAATTTGGACTTAGTAATGGAAAAATTGGAAAATCTGACTATTGCCTGTTTTGCTTACTTCGTAGTAGCTATTCAAGCAGTTGGTTTGTCTCCCTTTTTATTTAGTTTAGTGAGCTTTTATAAATGCATATTTGGGGCTGCTTTTTACCTTTTACTTACATCATTTTACTTGAAAATGTTTACCATTTTACTTCTTTTCTTTTTTTTTTTGGAAAGTAACATTAACCTTGTGACAGTAAGTGATACTTTGGTGTTTGCATGTACAGAGAATGTTTATCTCAACAAAAAATGTTCTTTTGTTTCTTCTTCTGAGATATGCAGTAGTACATAAAAACCAGGAAACATTACTACTTGGAAATAGCTCTATCCAGAACTCTATACTTGCTTAATTCAATACCATGTATTGTACTTGGTACTCATAGCCACTCAATAGTTTTTGAATGGATGATGAAAGATGACTAAAGCATGTGGCTGTGGCTTATAATTTGATGGACAATAACAATCATGTAAATAATTATAGTTCCTGTTTTCAAAAACTATTTCTGTTTTCGGGCTTATGAATCAGCATGTTTTGCGCAATCAAATAAGTAGGACAAAAACAGTTACAAATAATAGTTACCAAACTTTTTAAAAAATTTTAAATATTTTATTCACTTATTTAATAAATGTCAGATATCTCCCCCATGCAAGTATATAATATCTTGATGTTAGATAAAAACTTCTAAGGGTTTATAATGAAAACGGAAGACTAAATCCATAAAGACAGCTAGAGAGAATTTAAAGATTTTATTTTTTCTTTTGTTTGAAGTCTTTCATTTGGGAAGGGGTTGTTACCTGCTTTAACAGTATTAGCAGAGCTAACAGCTATTTTTTTTTATTAAAAAATTAAAAGAAGAAGGAGATTAAGATAAAAGAGTACATAACAACATAATAACACAGGTCAGAACAGAACAATTTAAGCAACATAGTGTTTCACCACAAGATAACCCAACATAACAGTAGCTACCATAATGTCTTTTTCCTTGAAATATTTGAGTATAACTATTATTACAGACTATATAAACCATTGTCCCATTTTTATAACTCTTTTACCAGTCTTGGAAATCATGATTTCAGAATCAAATTTCATCTATAATAATAATGCCAATAATAATAATTTAACACCTACCATATGCCATAGATACTTAACATAAACTATTTCTGATAAAATAATCTTAAAATTCCTGTATCAATGAAGAAACAGGCTCAGATAGGTTAAGTAATTTCCCAGCATTGTCCAACTACTAAGTTGGAGAGTCACAGTTTAAATTCAGGGAATCTAGCTGACTTGAAAGCCTAAGTGAACGTTCATGAGTCATCTTTCCTTGGGCGCATATCACATGTGGAAAAACCAGAAGAAGGACCAGCTTTAATTTTGAATTCACTTGCCAACTTTGTACTACAGTTAGAATACATCCTGTAACTTTTGGTGTTCCATCTCTCAGCAGCAAGACCTGAAGGAAATCAGCACTTTTAAGCCATAAAACCCACAACCTGATCAGTGGAGCATGACTGAACCATACCACGTAATGAAAGCTATGTATGTTTTCATTGGAGTTTACTACAGCACATTTCTTTTTGTGTCACTGAATGTGACAGATAAAATATGATGTGATTCTGATAAATGGCCCTCAGTGCTCTTCACTAGACTTGGAGAAATTAGATAGATTTTTCTCTTGGTTTTCTTCTTTATTATCTAGTTTTGAACTGACTGCAGGTTTTTGTTTTTTTTTTTTTTTTTTTTACTCTGCAGCTATTTGTGATGAGTGTTTCATTTTTTCCCCCAAGACTTTTAATATAAATTACAAAAAAATTTCAGTTTTCTAATTTAAATCTTATTTACATAATCTTCATTTATTATACAGCATTATTAAAGATGGTTCTGTTTTGTTATATCTGTGAAAAGCCTCCTGCAGGTAATTATTTATGTGAAACAGTGGAATAATAATTTTGTTTCAAGCTCCTTCAATGTATTTCCATCTCTTAATTGTGTTTTGTGAGAGGCTTGTGTTTTGCACACATTGTTACCATCCTGTGAGTTTCAATGAGATGGACAGTCATTTTGAGTCTAGACTTTGGCACAAAAAATGATGTCCATCCTAGATTTGAAACTTAAAGGGAGGACTTCTACTTACAGGTCCTAGGATGCCATGTTACTTCCCATGTACTAATATCAAACTATACTTTGGTATAATTCACAATATCATTGCCTACTAATTAAATTCATACTACTACTTTCAGTAGTTATAGAAGATTGTTGGCTTCAATGTTGTTTATGAGCAATGTTTTTGTTCTCTAAATTGTCATTTTCTTTATGTGAATTCTATATTTTCTTTATGTAAATCTTGGCTGATAATGCCTGTCAGTTATCTCATCAGTCTGTCCTTTCTTTTCCTACACCATCATTATCTTGTTTGAGGATACACCTATTCCTCAAGTGGTAA